ATTGTTTTACAAGTTGGCTAATAAAAATAAGATTAGTTGATAAATTGTAACATATAAAACTTTAGAAAGGGGTGGAGGTGGCAAATTTTTTGGAAGTTATGGTTAAAGAGCCAATTCTTTCAACATGAAGGCTTCGACTATTTGTGACATGGATTTCATCTTTATCATATGAAAAGATTTCATGAAAAACATTCATGTCCCCTGTCATGTGATTGGTAGCACCGGAATCTAAAACCCAAGTATTGCGAGAATAAGCATTACTTAAAGTGGAGGCATGAAGGGCTTGAATAACTTGTTGGAGTAATTCTGGTGAAAGAGTGGAAGTTTGATTGGAGATGTTAGGAGATGTCACAACCTGAGGAAAGAACGTGAATAGTGGAGAAGAAGAAACACATGATTTGTAGAGGATGCAATAGATACTCCTATAGCAACATAGACCCTTGGAATTCCTCGTCTCGTAGGATGTTTCTTGCAATCTCTATCAAGTGCCTTTGTCTTTTACAATATTTGTAGAAGAGAATGCGGGCTCACTCACCTTTTTCTTCTTGCAATGATTGGTAAGATGCCCAATCTCATGTTAGGTGTAACATTTCAATTTGTTGAAATCGCGAATTTTTTCTTTTTGTGTACTAACAAGAAAAGTCGCATCCGAAACTGATGAGTGGAACTTCAAATGATTCTCCTCTGCAAGAAGTTTAGCTAATATATCATTAATATTTTGTGTACTTGAATGATTTAGAATTGCAACTCGGACATGTCCAAACTAAGGTTGCAATTTCATCAAGAATTATCTCAAGCATGATTGTTGTGACAGTTTTATTACAGTTTCAAGCGCTTCTTTGGGAACATATGAGTCTATCATATCCATTTTATTCCATATCATTATCATAGCATAATAAAATTCTTGAATGGTACAAGTTTCTTGAGATAGAGAACTTATCTCTTGCTTGAGTTGATATAAGCATGTTGCATTGCCTTACTTGTGGATAGCTACAAGTAGTCCCACCTCTCTTTCGTCGTGCTAAAAGGACCCAAGTTCATAAGGATGGAATTCTTAACTAATTCCATGATCCATGTCTTTATCTTTACATTGTTTATCAACCATTTTGAAGTAGATCATTCTGTAGGTGTTTTGATAGTCTTTTTCCAAGAAATCTTTGATGTAAGATGCCCACAAAAAAAAAATAATTCTTGCCTTCCAATTTCAATGTCAGTCTATAATGAGAATCCATCTTAAAACAATAAAATAGACAATAAAGCCACCAAAGAAAAAATAACACGAATGTGACTCAAGTAGAGTTGGAGAGAGCTGAACGTAGATGTCCTGAATGAAATCAGTGACAGCTTGATGATGATAACTAAGCGAAACCAGAAGGTCAAATGATGATGACCTGAACAAACCCGGAGACTAGTGGTTAATGAAGGTTCACTGTATGAAAATAAATAAATCCAATCTCACTTGTTTGGCTCTAATGCCATGTTGACAAAGTGAGAGAAAGTAGAACATAAAAGTGGTAGGAAGGAGAAATAATATACCATTGGAGCTGCTCATTTTCTGTATCTTTCTTGCAAGGCAAATGCCCCTACTTATCAAATACAGGATCGGTAATGAAGGAAAGAGTTCACACCTATTTACAAACATTAACCACCTCAATATTCAAAGGTTTACAATAGCTAATTACAGTAATATTTCGTCTATTTATAGAAGATTTTAGTCATTTGTACCACGACAACTCAAGTAATATATTTGCTGATTTTATTCCTTTTGTTGACATATGCATATATTTGATACAGCACTCTGGTGGTTACCATGTATCCTCGATAGTTCTCTGATATCAGCAATGCGATTTGGATTTTAGTTGTCCGATATTTACCCAATATTTAATATTTAAAACCTTGGCAATACCTATTCTCTATTAATTAGTGATAGATGATTAAATCAATGTTGCCAAGGCTGTGACTCGTCAAAGGGGCAAATTAGATTGTATCATGGATCATAGATCCTACATAATCCATTTTACAAAAAAAAGGTCTGCTAGATAATATGCAAATAGAAACACGATTAGTTAGTCTAGTAATTTGAAAGGAAGTTAAATATTGCGTCATCAAGTTTCATTTGCAATTTTCTTCCCCTTTCTATCTGAATGAGTCGTTAGCTCCTTGTCAATTTTTGCAAAGAGGAACTGTAAATGTTGTAGATTAGGTATTAGAAGTGATTGTAAATTCTTAATGTTGAGAAAGAAGGGAAATTGACATCGGAAAGGTCACATGGTCGGATAAGGAAAATAATTGAATGACAAATAGGAGTAGATAACTAGTTCACCACTCCAGGGATAGAAGAAACTCCACCACCTTAGAGATACAGAACAAAGGAAAACTCACCATTTAAGAATCCACCAAAGAGATACATAGTAAAGAATAGACAAGCAAATCCAAAAGCGGCTGGTTACAATTTTAGCCTAGGTACTTATTCTCTGACATGGAACAACTCTCTCCAAGCATAGGAAAGTATGAAATAAATGCTGAATTCGTCCATCCAGATTGCACTAGCTATAAAAGTCTAGAAAGACTAGATATATAATGGATTTTCGATGTCTGACGGAGTTGCATGCATCTCCACACAAGAGTGCAATTATTCTACTTGAAAACCTTCAAAATCCACCTTCTCTTCCGGTGCATAGAAATCCCGATTCATTAATCAGCCTAGAGGTCTCCATTTATTGCAATTGACTTGCATTATCTCACCATTTTGGTTTTGAATTCCCCAACATCATAGATCTAGTTATGCTTCAAGCAAATATCTACTAGGACTTGGAAATGGGCAGTAACATGGGCTTGGGCTTGTCCACCTTACCTCTTGCTTCAATCTCCTCCGGTTGATGAAGACTTGTCCTCAAGTGTAGTTCCTCCATATCTTCTTTATATGGTGAAAGATCAGCGATATTAAAGCTTGTGCAAACACCATAATCATTTAGAAGTTCAACATTATAGGCATACCCACTATTTTGAGTAAGCACTTCAGAAATTTGTCATATATTCCTCATTTATTTCTCGCGATCCCTGATGTAAATGAGAATATTAGTCAAATTTGGAGAATGTGTTCATTGCATATAGTCATCGACTAGTTGCAACAACTCATCTCGTTCCCTGTAACTAATGCGATAGGAGAGAAAAACAACATTGTGAACACGATCAATAGAATGTTAAGTAGAATTCTAACAAGAATTTCCTTTGTAACACATTGAAATTCTGGAATAATAGATTTCATCACCAATGGTTCATTGTCTTCTCCACTCTCCTCAACATCCACAAATGTAAAGACTTGGGTGTCCTTTGCAATTCTCAAACAAGAGATTTCTTGTGTACTCCGTTCTTCATTCTCCATTCTGGAATGATTTCTGTTAGAAATAAAAGAGATGACGATCAAAGTGGGTAAGTAAGATTATTATGGCATTACTGTTTCAAGTTACAGGCACACACTCATTAGCAAAAAAGGAAAGAGAAAAGAAAAGAAAAAGGAAAGGAGAAGAAAAAGAAAGAGACACAGGGAAGAAACCCACAAGGGAACACAATTCTTAGTCATTAACCAAATATGAATCTCTGAGTAAACTACAATACCCTCATTTAAAGATTAAACATAGACTACTGCTTCAACGAAAACTGTCTTCAATAAAGTCCTACTCGAACTAATTATATTACAAGATAAAGTCAAAATGATCAATAATTCAAATCAAACTCTGATAATATAAATCATTCTTGTCTTTTGAAACTCTAGTTTTAGATATGTCAAAACAGGTTTAGTGCACTTGAATGGACAATCTATCCATTTGGCCTTGCATGAAGATATTCTTGTTGACTTGAACAAGGCTAGAATAAAGAAGGATACAACAAATTTGAACTTTTTCATGAAGGCTAACAGCCTGAGAGCATGTAATAAATATGAACAACTTCTTCATATGAGATGACATTGGAATCCTTCTCCATCTCAACTTTGAATGGCAATGCAACTACATTTTGTTCTATAGAAAAGAAGTTGGAAGACTTGAATAATGTTCAAATGTAGCTTCATCTCGTCAATGGGAAAATTAGCGATAATAATACTACTTTGCTGGGTCTATAGAATCAGTACCCTCCGTTTGTAATTCAAGGTTTTCTTCTGTTGGGTCTTATAGAATCAGTATCCCCAGTTTGCAGTTCTAGGTTTTCTGTTGGGTCTTATAGAATCAGTACCCTCACCCTCAGTTTGCAATTCTAGGTTTCCTCCCGTTTGGTCTATACAGTAAAGTTCTTCCCATCAGAGAGATTGAAGGGTTGAACGCTTGCCTGATTGCCAGAGGGTATGCGCAGACCTTTGATGTTGATTACCTTGAGATGTTCACTCTTGTGGTTTGACTACATTATTTCAAGATTATCTTGTCAATGACAATAGTCAGTCGTTAACCTCTTTATAACTTGGACGTTAAGAATGCTTCTTTCATTGTTACATTTAGGAAGAGGCTTACATGACTCAGACAAGTTACGAGATTTATTAAGAGGCATAATGTATGTCATCATAAGAACACTATCAATGGCTTGGAACAATCTTCAGTAGCATAGTTTGACTAGTTAATTATTTTTTGTGCCCAATTTGGCAGAATGTTTCTGAACACTCCCATCTTTGTGCAACACTCTTCTACCAGTACTATCATTTTTTGTTGTTTACATAGATGTTGTTATAAGGATTTGGATTCTCTCCACAATCAAAACGTGCTGGGGGCAAAATTTCGATTATAACCGTCATTTAGTGGACTGATGTAATGTTCAAAAAGTCTCAAGATAATGGCTTATGTCCTCAATCACCTGAAAAGTCAAAAAATTAAAGTTTTGATAACAAACGGTTGATGTTTATTTTTTTTGTTATAAAAAATGTTTAGCTTAAATTGTATTTTTATCAAGGCAATTTAAACTTGCCATGATACTCATTTGGCATAACCTAGTAATAACAAAGTGGTCTGTGCCAGATTGGTGCATTTGCTGCTCCAGAAAAGATACATTGGGCACCAGGACTTCCAAAAACGAGAAGTGGAAAAATCATGAGGAGGATTCTGAGGAAAATTGCTTCCAGACAACTTGATGAACTAGGGGATATAAGTACTCTTGCCGACCCAAGTGTGGTGGAACAGTTGATTGCACTCGGTGATTCCTAAGTTCCAGATGGAAACGTGCACAAAGTTAAGAGAGTTTCTTAGCTTTATTCCATATTCTGATGCTGTTGTCATTGGGACTATGGAAATATACAAAGAGAAATCAGACGATGGTTGCGACCGCATGTCTGATAGAATAAGTGGCGTCCAGGTGTGCTTTAATTTCTTATTTATAGATGTTGTCGAGAAATCAAGATCAGCTTGGATCTCTTGCTGTAGTGTCTAAATGAATATGATCATGTCATTTTATTTATCGGTAAATGTTTTTCTGTTGTTTAACTTTCGAATGCCATAGTGTTTGCGTACTGTTTGAATTTATTTATTCCCAGTTTTGATCCTCTCATTTGTATTCCATTCCCTGCTCTTTACTCTTCGTAAGAAATCACGTGCATGAACTCTTATAGATGCTACCCCCTTCCCATCATCTGCATGCTACATGTGGTTCCTTTTCCTTTTAAAATTTCACTTCATTGTGTAAGCATGATCAATAAAAGTCTTGGGAATCCTTTTTCTCTATGTTTTGTTTATGCAATGAGAGCGGAGTACTGCTGATAACGAAATGGTGATATCTGTGTTATATCTTTACGCGAGTTGGATGTCCGTTAATTTACAGGGATTCATCCTGTTGTTAAATGCAGTAACGACTTGACTTTTTCCTGTAACTTCACTTTCGATCTTTGCGTTTAAATGAATTGTAAAAAGAACTATTTGTTAATGGGGTGATGAGATTTGGTTCTTCTTTATACAAATCTCGGGGTTGGATAGTATGGGGATTGTGGAAAGGTGAATTCTCAAAGGAGATTAGATTATAAGAAAGGAATTTGGAAGCATGGATTACGATTAGCCTTTTCCAAAAGAAGCTTCCCCTCTTCAAGCTTTTCCATTTCCCTAGAGATACCTCCCCTATCTCCTACTCTTTGCTAAAGCCTGTCCTCTGTTTCCTTGCACCTCCCTGTAAAGAAACTGAATAGCCCTTTCATGATGCATACACAAATATAAAAGAAGAGGAGGAAGAAGAAGAATAGGCCATAAATGAAAGACTTGATCACCATGGCAAACGCGAGCACGAGCTGGATCGTCGACATCCAGAACAAACTCAAAGATGTCGACACCTCGACAGAGATCGCCCAGTGGAGGAAACACTCGATCTACCAAGTCCCCTGGTGTGTCAAAGAGCTCAACCCTAAAGCCTACAAGCCTCAGATCGTCTCCTTCGGGCCCTACCACCACGGCGACGACCAGCTAAAGCCAATGGAGGTCCACAAGCACCGAGCCCTCCTTCACTTCCTTAAGAGAGTTCAAAAACACTTGGAAGAGTTTATGAGTGCACTTGAGGACATTGCGGATGTGCTTATGGACTCGTATCAGAGTCTCGATGAGAGGTGGAGGAGAGGGAGGGAGGAGTTTTTGAGTATGATGCTCGTTGATGCGTGTTTCTTGCTTGAGGTGCTGAGACTTTCGACAGGTGGTGGGAGAGCGAGCGATTATGCGTTCAATGATCCGATATTTAGCAATCATGGGATGCTGTATACTGTGCCATATATAAAGAGGGATATGTTGAGGATTGAGAATCAGTTACCGTTGCTCGTTCTGGAGAAGCTGGTTGCTGTGGAGACTGGTCAAGCTCCTGTAAGTAGTTATATGTCACACCTATTTATGTTGCTAACTGAACAAAGCTTCTTATATATCTTCATGTTGCCCAATTGTTAATAGAGTCTATTGACTCGAGCCTTCTCTGATGCTACTCTACTTGAACAAGCTTCCAGTTTGCAGCGAATAGGATATGAATCATGTACTGAGCAGTTTATTTGAAAACTACGTTGCTAGCTATGTGATGTTAAATTTTTTTAAAAAAAAAAAAGAAGAAGAAGAAGATGAAACAAAAGGTGTAGGTAGCCTGCTTCATCCTCCAGCCTATATTCTCAAAATAAAATATATGGTTAAAGGGATTCAAAACCTGTATGCCCTTTTCTAGTCATAACCATTAGATAATGTATTTGGATTATTATGATCTACACTGAATATGTTTATCATCATGATTTCCACCGATTACGAGTATTCCTAGTTTTTTAGGGGTAAGGATCCTTGGAGTGGTACCGGTCTAGTAAATCTTGTGGCTCGGGCATCCGTTTTGGACGTTGCAGTCCAGACCCGAGTGAATAGCACAAGTGTTGCAATGTCCGCCATGGACGTGGATAGACCATTGGCCTTTTGCAAACTAGGCCATTTGCAGTAGGTAAATCTCCTAGTTTTTTTTCCCTTGAAAGAAACTTTATTCTAAATATGTATGAGAAAAAAGTGTGTTGACAAAGTGTTTTAGGGGTAAACTCATGCTTTAAGTTTTGTGAAGGCTAGATCCATACTGGCTTTGATTAAAAAATAAAAATTAAATCACGAGGCATTGTTGCGGAGTCATGGAATTTGTTCTTGTTGAGGAGTTATCTCTCTGCACCCTTAAGAATCTCTTACATTGATGATTAAGTTGCTCGTACATTTTGAGCTTTACTTGGGGTTTACGATTTGCTCATCAAACGATCCATTGAAAAAAGGAATCAGATGCTAAAATATTTGAGGAAGGCTCTCAAAATAGGAAACAAGAAAAGAACAGTTTCAATGATTACATGTTAAGCACTTATGATCTACTTTTAATTATAAGGAAATTATACATAATTAGTAATAAACCAACATCAACAGATACATAGAAAGCGCATGTTTGAAGGTTGAACATCAGTATTAATCATTAAACTGCTCAGTGTATAACATGTACATTTCTAGAGTACACGAAGACTAAAAATCCATGCAACTCAAATTTGTCGGTATAAACGATCTCATGACTCAGAAATGAACTGTTATAGTAATTCTCACATTATTTTCTCCGCGCGCCCACACTTTCAGAATGACGACCTCATCAACAAGCTAGTCCTTAAATTTAGCGCCCCCGCCATCGAGCTCAACGAGGCCGGCATCCGCCTCAAGAAGAGCAAAACCAACAGCCTCCACGACATCAGCTTCAAGCACGGCGTCCTGAGCCTGCCCGTGGTGATGGTCGACGACGCCACCGAGTACATACTGCTCAACCTCATGGCCTTCGAGCGCCTCCACGTGGGCGCCGGCAACGAGGTAACGTCCTACGTCTTCTTCATGGACAACATGGTCGACTCCGCCAAGGACGTAGCCCACCTGGCGTCGAGAGGGATCATACACAACGCCGTCGGGAGCGACAAGGCCGTGGCCAAGCTGTTCAACAGCCTGTCCAAGGACGTGTCCCTGGACCCGGAGAGCAGCCTCGACGACATCCACCGGAGGGTGAACGACTACTGCCAGAAGGACGTCAACAGGTGGCGGGCTAACTTGATCCACACTTATTTCAGAAGCCCGTGGTCCCTGCTGTCCCTGGCGGCCGCCATATTTTTGCTCGCGCTCTCGGTGGCCCAGACCGCGTATTCGGTGCTGCAGTACTACGAGTCCCCGAGCGCTCCTTCGCCGTCGTCTTGAGAAATGGGCTCCGTTGGTTTTGAATTGTTTGGGCTTTCGAGAAAAAGTTGCTTGTTTGTTCTTTTTTAATTATGCTGTGCGGTTTTCGAGCGTGCATACTTTTTCGCTTTCGTTCGATTGTTTGGTTTGTAGTACTGTTGCTACTAGCTAGCTTGAAGTTTGCGTGAAAGATGCCGGATGAATGATCTTCCCTTTTATTCTTTGTGGTTTTATTATTTTTTTTATGTTAGTAATACGTGTTTGTAACTGATTTGGTTATTGTTCAATTTGAAGAAATAAGAAGATTTTTTTTAATTTTTATTTCTATGCATGGATATAAAAGGATGTGAATTATCTGTACTGTAAACGACTCATGAAGAGATCACTACTTTGATCAGAACAACCTATTGTTGAACGTATGCGGTTCGGATGCATTTCATATTTTACCATTTGCCATATCCCCGTGTATCTCACTCGTTTTTTTTTTTGTTCATTTCAAGTTATAATTGTTAACTAAATGATAAACTTTACAATTGAAAGTAGTGGTCTTCCTACTATTTTTTTGCAGTAGATAAAATTCAAAAGAGTTATAAAAAGAAAGAAATAATGGATAATTAGGGGTCTAAGTATTGGTAGGCAAAAGTTATATATTTAGGGGTCTAAGTATTGGTAGGCAAAAGTTATATATTTAGGGGTCTAATTATTTGTAGGCAAGAGTTATGCAAAGAAAATGAGAACTACAGAGATGAAAACATTGAGGGTGTGTTTGGCAATCACTCAAAAGCTAGGACAGGTTCAATCTTGGTCTAGTTCTACTCTAAACCGGTTTAGTGTTGGATCACCACCCTCTTGGTCTATTATTAAACTGGTTTAGCCTCCTTTTCGCCTAAGAAAAACTGGGTCAGGACTGGACCACTTTTTGCCAATCAAAAGCAAACCCAACATTGGGTCAAGTTTAGTCCTGGCCAAGTTTTAGGAGTTTGCCAAATACATCCTAAGTGTCAAATTTTTTTTTTTTTTTTGAATTTACCCTGATCAAATATGTATAAACTTAGTGCAATTTGAGCTATGAGAAAACAATATTTTCAACTGGCATAATAGGAGAGATGCAGTTATTAGAAGAAGATATTTGAAAGTAAATATCATACCTACTCCCTTTAAAATGTGAGTTTGGAAAAATCTTTTCATTGTTAGAATTGTGTATTTAATTCTTTGTATAACTTAATAAGAATTAGATAGGGTTAGAGATTTGTCATAATTAGGAGATTGAGTTTTATCATGATTAGGAGTTTGGATCCTATTCTAATTAGGAAGTTAATTAGGTTAGAGATAGGGTTTTGGTCTTCCTGAGAAAAAACCAAAGAGAGGGGGGAGAGAGAGAGAGAGAGAGAGAGAGAGAGAGAGAGAGAGAGAGAGAGAGAGAGAGAGAGAGTATGCTTGTAATCTAGGGTTAGTAGAGGGCGTAATCTGATTTAAGAATATTGTGCGAGAGGCGAGGGTTTCATAGTTTTTGTTCGTGCAAAAGATTACAACATCAGGAGAGGGTTTCGCAGTCTTTGTCCATTCAAAAGATTATAAGAAGTTGGTTTTTGAGAGAATATGAGAGTTGATTATGTATGTGAGGTTAAGAGATTGAGACGAGAGTTGAGTAGTTCCTCTTGTAGTTCTCCCTGGTACATAGTGAATTTTTCGTGTTGTTGCCCCGTGGATGTAGGTTGAAGTTAGTCGACTGAACTACGTAAATCTTGATGTTCATTCTTCTTGATTGTAGTACGCGGGGGGAATAAAATTCCCCAACAAGTGTTATCAGAGCGATAGTGATGGATTCGGAGGCAAGTTAGCAAGATACCCGTCGTACAAAAGTGAATGTCGGTGGCATTACAAGAATCAAGATGAAGAGAAAGAAAAAAAAGAAGGAGAAGTAGATTCAGTCAGTGATGGAAGACAACAGGTGGATGCAAATCCCAACACTGTTTCCACGATGGAGTTCTATTGATTTGCTTCTAATGTTAGAGGTGGCGAAAATCTCTTGGTGCGCACAAGAGAGGCGGAAGCGTCACTAGAAGACATGTGACATAGGGAGCATCATGAGGCATCCAGTTGGAATGCATGTGTTCTGATTAGGAGTATGGGTGCTTTGATTTGAAGTGTAAAAGAATAGAAGACGCTAGCGGGAGAGGCAAAGTTTCAAGATGATGATGATATATCTTCAAGGGAGTTTAAAGAATCAAATCCAAGGTGGAGATTGTTAGTATTGTGCCTTTGATTCTTTGTATAACTTAATAAGAATTAGATAGGGTTAGAGATCTGTCATAATTAGGAGATTGAGTCTCATCATGATTAGGAGTTTGGATCCTATTCTAATTAGGAAGTTATGCTAGAGATAGAGTTTTGGTTTCCCTATATATATTCTTCTATTGTTGGAGGAAAAACCAAGCAGATGAGAGAGAGCCATTATTCTTATAATCTAGGGTTAGCAGAGGACGTAGCCTGATTCAAGAATATTGTGCGAGAGACGAGGGTTTTGTAGTCTTTAACCTTTCAATTACAATTGAAAAAGAAGGCTTGTCGACCAGTCATCCAACTTGGCATCACCATATCAATTGGTTTTTATATAGTAGTATAGATAGGATATATGCCAAGTTCACTCAAAGGCCCAAATTACAGAACAACACAAGAACGAAGTCTAACTCTCAACGAAGTAATTATTATAAGGAGATCTAACATAAGCAGACCCCCCCCAGTGGAGCCCCGGCCCCTTCAAGAAGAGCGCGTGTGATACTGCAAGACTGCGTACACCGTCTGCAGAAGGGTCAGCAGAAGCAAGAACACGAAAGCGG